GCGTTTTTCCACAATTGTTCCTCGCGATTGCCACGAGGCAATCGCGAGGACGACAGGTCGTCGATTCCCTCCTGGTTCCCTCCTTTACCACGCATTCCCACGCCGGGGCGAATCCGCGAGAGCGCCGATATTTCGCAACGCGCGGCTTCTGCCGGTTTCTCCCAATGCTCAGCGCGTTTCTCGCTTCTCGCGCAGTCAGCGAATATTTCGCACGATCTTTTTATTAGCGCGCGTTTACGACGCGCGCGGCAGTTTTTTACAACGCGCGGCAATTTCTTATCGCGCGCACGCGCGCGCGCGACGATTACTCACGTAGGCGATTACGAAACAGGAAAATTACACTTATAAATACACGGCGAGGTAACGCAAACGCTCAGGATATCCTCGGTTATTGGAGGCTCGGGAAAAAATATTCACCGGGGCTTTTCAATGTAACGAAACAACGCGCGTTGCACGCGAACTTCGCAATTGAAAGTTCCCCGCGTACCGCCGCGCCTGCGTCTCGCATTATGCGTCCTAACAACGCGTCGTACAACTCGACGAGGCCCGCTTCCTCGCTTCAGGATTAAGGACGAGACACAACGGAGGTCCCATTCCGAATAATTACCCGGACCTCCGGACTCGACTCGACTCGACTCGACTCGACTCGACTCAACGTGGGAAATAAAACAATCGCGAGCCGAGAGAATGTGTCCCGTGGCTACGCCGCGGCTACGTGACTATTCCGGAACGAGAGTGAGTTCAAGTAACTGTTCACGGCGCCGCGGAGCCGGAGGGGGGGAGGGGAGGGAGGGGGGCAATTTTAGGCAGAGGACGACAATGACAGAACCGACGGAGCTCTCGAGAGCACCGCTTCGAGGCTGCGCGTAGATCAGCGTGTGGCCTAGTTGTCGGCTGACGATGACACCGATGACACCCCAACCGGGTCAGCCGGGGCATAACAGCTCGTTGCACTTTATATCGCGCACAGCGACGTGCGCATTATGCGTATTCGCGAGCCGCTAATCGATCGGTTTAGATAACGGGAGATCGAGGCGCGAGAACGGTACGATTGAGCTCACGCGATTGAATCTCTCCGATACGCCTGACTCCTCGCGAGGAGATTACGAGGAGACAATTTCCGAGCTCGCCACTCGATATAGAAAACTCGCGTTTCAAACGACTCTCCCAGCGGCCGATGGATTATGATCGATGATACCGTCACACTTGCGCTCGCGACTCCGCTCACGCGTTGGCTCGTCGTCGTCGAAATTACCGAGATCTCGGGCTGAAAGTCGGGCGCGAGCCGGACGCGAGGAGTCCGTCAGACGATACCGATGCGAAGGTACTGACATGCGGAGGATTCGTTCCCGCACGCCTAAAAGTTCGGAAGCGCGGGCACTTCCGGCAGCGCGTTCTCGTTATCAGTGAAAGTCGTTCGTTGCAGACGTGCATGTAAATGGTACGGCGCGCGAGTCCTTTCGATGTTGGAGAAGCAACCCGACGGCTTTCCATTTCTGCCGCTCGTAATTTTGCTTTCGGAAGTACACCGCTCGGTCGGCGTGCAGCGCGAGCCACGCCAAGAAAACACTCATTTCGCTCTCTAGTCAGCGCACGAAATTTTTAACGGAGCCTTTCGCCTTTCGTTCGGATGTAAAAACTACGCGAAATCGGCGCGTGCGATCTACGCCCGTCTGAAATCGTCCGAGTTGGAGGATGGCTTTTCCTCTCGAGAGGAGCGAAATGGCGAAACAGAGCCGATAACGACGTTTGAATTGCGAGCAATTCGAAACGAAGGGCTCATCGCGTGACACATATCGGTTTCGGCTCCGCGTAATCTCGCCGTGATATCTCCGAGATAAATCCTCTTCACAAGGTGATGGGGCCACGACGGTATCTTATCGCGATTATCGCACGCGTCCTCGCGATTTTTACGAGAGCGCGAGAGCGGGACTGTCGCGGTTTGCGCGAATCACGCGCGGCAGAAGAAAATTATTGTCCCTCGGGCGATAAATTAGTCATCAAGTACTCACTCGATCGCCGTTGGATCCTCGTCGAGTTCCTCGGAAATGCTAGACAAGCTGTCGCATGACCGGCTGATGAAAGAGACTGATGGTGAGTGCAATATCCTCGCATCGCTTCTGAAACTAGGAAGATTAGGTGCCATCAGCGACGACGTCGAGGAAATTGCCATTTAGCCGGCGACAACAAAATTGAGTATAATGATCGTTACACTCAACCGACGAACAATTATACATTATTCCGTGGGCAAACCGAGACCGAGCGCGGGCGCTCGCGGTGCGATTTAAGGCACGAGCGAGAAGTGGAGTCGAACACAAAAATCCGTTTCTAATGACTCTCGGTGCCTATTCATTCGCTCATTCCGGAGGTTCTTGCGGTGCCGCTTGTTCCTTTAATGAAATAACGCCAACGCTCATCAGACCGTGGAACAATTCACAAGAAACGCCATAGCCGCGCGCGCGCGCGCGCGTCCACCCTTCGCTAACTTTAGCTCTTACATAACACACGCATCCAGTGCTCGAATGAGTTTAATTGGCGTTCGCGTTGGTCCTCAGCGAGAACGAACTCGTGAGAGGGCTATCAAATGGACGTGGCATTTTCCATTCGCGACGATTATTCGCGCAAAGTATCCGGTCGCGTCTCTCTCTCTCTCTCTCTCCCCCCCTCTCTCTCTCTCTCTCTCTCTCTCTCTCTCTCTCGCAGCACGAAATGCAAATTTACGAGTGTACGGAATTAATATGAATTATCGTACATCGAGCGGACAAACTGCGAATTGCGAAAAGCGCTACGTTGTGCGTCAATGTGTATACTTTTTAAACGGAACCGCGCGGAACAGCTTATGGACAAGGCCGCAGCGATACAACGACCTACTTCCAGCACGCTGTTTAGTTAGAGTTAATTTAAACGCGAATAGAGTTAACGGAAAGAAAAGTGTAGTTCACCGTCGACTCTTTCTTCGCGAATCGGCCGGTTTTTCTTTGCTTTTATTTTCTTGTCTTTCTTTTCTTTTCTTTCACGTAAAAATACACGAGCGAGAATGTGTGAGATGTCTCTCGTACGCGAGCAGCGTCGATTAAGGGCAACGATAGGACTGCAATACGGCGCAATATCGCCGATCAGTGATCGCCAGACCAGCCGATAAAACGCAACCCCGCGGTTTCTCTCCGGCACAGATACGAACCACTCCCGTCTTCCGCAATTAACCGAAGTGCCTTATAGTTTATCGAGTCCGTCTCGACGGCGCACTAAGCCTATAAGTGACCGCGTCGGTCGTGTGTCTAACAGCGATAATCACTGCGATGTATTGATGTTCTCCGTTGGCCGGCTATTTCGAGACAACGCCGAGTACGCGCGTCTAACCGAAGCACAACACCGTACCTGTTGTGAGCAATGAGATCCACTGATTGTCATTGCGGCTCGACTCGACGAAAATTCCGCTCGCCTTGGAGATCGAGCGGCGGTCGAGTTCGCAGACAAACGAATGAAAAATATATTCCGATTGCGAGGATGGAGACAGAAATATGTTGTTTTCCTTCCTCTCGTTTGAGAAATATGCCTCACACTGCGTGCGAATAAATCGCGAGACAACGGCGAGTCAACGCGATCTCAACTTGCACGATGAAAATTACATCGCGATCAAGCCCCGAGGTCACCGCTTCGATGTGCAAAAATGCTAGTCACGGATGCGTTGTGCATTCGATTTGTGGAATCACACACGAGACGTCAGACAGTTAGTAGGATTTCGCGCGAGTCGCCGCGTGAGAGAGCCTTACTTACACCTCGTTATCTCCGGGAGACGACATCGTTGACATTCGTCAGCACAAACGGCATCACTGGCAATGCGTGAAACGTAAGTTGACCCTCCCCACGCACTAGGAGCACCACACTGTCACTACCGACCATTAGCACTTTGATAGAGCTTCTTCTACATTTCTTCGTGGCATAGTACTCTTCTTCCACGTTTACTTCTTCTATGTTTGCATAGTACTCACACGAACCGATGAGACGTCTCGGATCAGGCAGGCTTCGTACTATTTCTCATTTAAGTGAGAGATATTAGACATACACACACGTTTCCGTCGAATGTACACATAAACACACATACACACGCACACACGCGCGCATGCTTAGCGGTCATCGGTATCGAGCGGTCGAAGCGAGGGAATTAAGGGTAAGGATGCGGAATTATGCATGCGTGGCAAACTAGGTGCACTTTAAATATGTTACGAAGGAAGTGAAATGTAGAGCACGCCGTTTAAATAACCGGCACTGCCTTTGCGGCAGCTTGGAAAGCGTTAATCGAGAAATAGACGGCTACTTCGTTTTACGATCCTCGAGCGCGAATTTATCAGCCAGCCTGCCTGCCTGCCTGCCTGCCTGCTGGAAACACTCGCGTCGTTCCCCACGCGGCCGTAAATATGTATTCCTCTTATCGACGAAACGAGTATCGCCGATCTGCCGATTTCTAATGCGCCGCGATAACGATAACGGAACGCCGTCGAAGTTTCACGTCGTATTGAACTTTGTATCGCACGCAGACGCTCGTGCGGATATTCGCGTTGCAGCTTACTCAGCGTTCAATGAAATGAAACGCGAAGGTCTCTTTTTGCGCTAAGCATGGGCCAATTGACCTTTTAAGTGGAAGAAACAATCCTCGTTCCAGTCGAACGTACAGTCGGGCAATTTCGTGAAATATTTCGCGACGCGTTAAAATGGAGGTTATACATCGGCAGAATCGGAAGCACGTCTCTCCCACGGTGGCGTAATAAAAAAATATATATTATATGAATACATATACGCGAGAAATCCGAGCGGAGGATATTCACGAAGTCGCGCGAAGGAGATTGAAGCGGAATATTTCTTTACTGATAGCTCAAAATTAAGTTTCTCACCTTGTTTTTGCCTCGTTCCCGCGAGTTTCTCTTTTCGTGACTTTCGGAAACGCTGAAGCGTAGCGACTAATTCAAACGAGGTTCTGATTCAGGTACCTCACGCAGAGATGGAGCCAGCAGTCAGGCTGACCGACCGACCGTTATGCGAGTTGAAACAGAGCTGTTTCAAGCCTAACCTAACCTAACCTAACCTTTTTAACCTAATAATCTTTGGTGGTTGCACGTGCATAGGACGTACGTTTTGAAAAAATGGCAAAATCGTTGCGAAGCAAATGGAAAAGGAAATGCCGAGCAGTGAAGAGAGAACGTTACGCGGCGAAGGAATTGGATAGATTGAAAAAAACTCTCGGCATCGACGACAAAGCCCCTAAAGATGTGGAAATGGCTAACCTCGAGGAGATTGCCACAGGTAAGATTTCGCACTGTCGTATCGCAAAGACGCAAAATTTGTTTTTATAAATATTACACATCATATATATTGTAATATAACAAAATAATGCACTATATTGCTTCATTTCCGGAAACCAATAGTTGTGGATGCAAAGCAAGTAAGAAAAGATATCGAGGTTAAGCAGAGCGCTACAACCACTGATGGGAATTACATGGAAGTAGAAAATGTCAGAGTGTATAATAAGAAGACATTGCGCGATCAGTACGGCAATTATCCCGTATGGATGAACCTCAGGAAGATAAACAAGCACAAAAAAGGCAGGGCAAAAACACAAAAGGCTAACACGAAAGTAAACAAAAGAATCACTAGACGTCAAAAGAGAGCGATAAAGGACAGGAAAGCGGAAAAGGACTAGATAAACTAAACTAGATGACAATCTTTAAGATAAAACAGATGTGCAACCTGGTGCCAAAGGAAAGAGAAACAAACAGGACATTCCGCAATGTTCAGGATATCCCAAAACATTCAAGAACGGCACTCAGGTCAAGCCGAAAAGAGCAGATCTAAGATCATAAAATCTTTTCCACAAATTGTAGAATTAGCTTATATTTTACTTATCAACACTGTTAAATATAACGAAAGCTATTCTGTTTTAATAGATAAGTAACGATGATCTTTGTTGTGTGTTTATTCTAATGTTGTGCCATGTATTACCTTCTATGGAACCTAAACAAATCTTACGAGGACATGATTGAGAAATGCAGATTCCGTATCTTTTTATTACAAAGCTGAGTACAAATAGTCACGTATAGTATTAACTGTAACTGTTTGAGTGCCAAGAGGCACGATCGCGTGCCTCTTGTTTTGCGACATAATCGCACTTATAATTTGTATTCTCGTGCCGAGTCCTCCTAGCACTCGACAATTATATTAAACTACCGCAATATTACGAGCCTGAAATATAACAAACGCTAAGTGATGGCAGTGATGTTGTTGTTTCACGAGAGGATACCTCCTCGTGAATCTTATGGCTAGAATTACGTCAGCACCGTGAGATTAAGATCATCCGTAGGTCGAAAATACCCGGACGAATGTTCCACGTTCCACGAATGTACACATCTTTTTATTTGCACATCTCTAAGTGCGACGTTGATTATCCCGAGTTTAAGACGCGGACTTCAAGACTGTCGTTATTCACGCGTAACACTCGTAAAATAATAACGTAAAAATAATACTATCGTTATCTACTATTAATACTAGATGGAAGAGTAGTAGTAGTAGTAGTAGTAGTAGTAGTAGTAACACACCGACGATCTACTACCACGGTACAGAGCAAGGTAGCGGGTAATATTATCCCTACCCGCTATCAGTATCAAAGATCGACCGTAGTTACTAGACGCGTGGTACTAAAAATTTAACGGCCCGCTAATTGGCATCGTCGATCTGCAGCGTATTCTCAGCCGACTCTCGAGTTCCGCGACGCGGTTCATCAGGTGCTGTATCTTCCTCATTTCCGCCTCGTACTGCTTCATCTTGCTTCTCATGTCGTACACCTCCTGTTGCATCAGTTGCTGAAACAAATCGCGATCGTAATCCACGAACGATACGAGTGCACGTTTTACTCAATGTTTTGTCCAAGTACCACGTTCTCGACGGTTCTCCTCATCTCGTTGACGCTCTCGACGGCTAGTGTGACTTTGGTGTTCATCTCCGAAGTCTCCGTGTCTCTCTTCCTACTCCTGGCCACTTGCTGCGGAAGTAAGACATGTTTTCCCTCACAGGATCAGACAACAAATTGACAAGCCGCAACCCACACACCTACCTTTTCCAATTTTGTCAGTCTTTTCAAGATGATCTCGTAGTCTTGAACATCGTCGCCCACTTCGTTTTCTGTATCTGCGATTTAACAACAGTGCACGCGAACTACATCTCAAACAGTTGAAATTTCATTTTCAAATAGATCCCACAAAATATGTTTCTCCTCGTACGTACCATGAGAAGAAGTCGTCGGGCCTCTCGTTGTCGACTCGTTGTCGTGAAAATCACTCTCCAAGTCGCGCGCCTCAAACGCGTTCTCGTCTGTCGTGTCTGTGAAGTAGAGAACAAGAAGGAAGAAAAATAAAAAGAAAGAAATAAACCATCCGGTGAGTTTTGCAAACTCACCATTCCTTCGACACGACTGGCCGTCCTGCTGAAGTTGAAAGCCAACCCTGCAGTGACATCGATAGCTGCCAGGTAGATTCGTGCAAAGTTGACCGCACGGTTTTTCCGTCGCGCATTCGTCCACGTCTGCGAGAGAGATGAAGGAACAAATCGTTAATTTTTAGCTCACTTCAGCCGAGGATAATTGCATTCGAGGATAATTGCATTGTTTGTCGATGAAGGATTTTTGAAGGATTCTAAGCAACGGGACACGTTCTTCGTCGCGCGTTAAAGCGCGAAGAAGAACATCCGATCGATTCCTCGGCCACGAGTGCCTTCTCGTGCCTGGTATCGTCAAACGTAATTAAATCGATGCGGCGCGATACGCTTCTCGATAGCATTACGCGAACGTCGGGCTAACTGCAGCGCAATCCGTATTGCGGTGTCCTGCATGTCCTGCATCAGCGGGCTGCAATCAGACCGCGCGCGTTCCCGATAGATTTACGAGCGATTCCGCCGTGGACGTTAAAATCGCTGCTCTTCGTGCGCGCATACGCGATGAGTATTACATGGTCTCGCGACTTTAATGAAAAATCCCACGCTCGCTCGAAATGAAAAAAAAAAAAGAGAAAAAAGCACACGATGTTTCGATCGATCTTTCGTTGCCCTCGATTAGCACACCGCGTATTTCTAGATTCATTGAAAATCGCTTAAACTTCCCCACTCGACGTTATAATGTAGTCGATAACACAACATCTATGTTTTTCTTCATCACTTGTTATATAGCGTGAGAGTAATTTTTATGTCGCTGTTACATAAAAATTTCACCCTTTTAACGTAAAGATACAAGTAACGTAATATATATATATGTTAAATATATGACTTTATATTCTTTTCATCAATATTGTAAAGGTGTATATATTGTAAAATTATGTAACATTTGTTGTATAACTTTTTTACATATCCAAGTTATACAGCAGTAACCGAACTGAACATGACTGAGCGGTTATGTTCAAAAGGACAGTAAAGTTACAAAACTGTAATATAAATGTTACAACGTATTCGTCATATAATTTGTCACTTTCAAGTTACATAACAATAACTAAATGCGTTAACTGGGTCGTTATTAAATTAATCGATTAATCTGATAATTGTGTCGCGGAACAAGAACATAATGAAGCGCGACGCTAATAATTTTCTCTCGTCAGTATCGATACTAATATCAGCGCGCGTGTCATTCGGACACGTTCAAATACTGATTTCTAATGGAAATGAAAATTACCTGTTTGGCACTGGTTGCCAACGTATCCCTTGGGACACGTGCACTTGCCGGGCGACGTGCAAATTCCGCCGTTCAGGCACGGCACCAGACACGTGGCTGAAGAACAATTGCACGTGCGGATTAATCGACTCGTGCGCGTCACAATGGCGAGTAACGGCCGAATAATTTTGCCAGATTAATTCGAGAAGCTGTCGTTTGCTTTACTCACGTTTGTTACAACCGAAACTCAGATGGGTGATTTGCGACCATCCCGGGCAGCAGAAGAAGCCTGGGGTCAGCTCGGTGTAGCCGAGGATTAATCTGAGGAATACGTATCTTTTCTACGAAATTGATAAAATGTACGGAATATATCGGCCGAGTGTATGAGTGCATGGTGGTGTGTGTGTGTGTGTGTGTATGTTGCACGGAAAGAGCCTGCTCTTGAGTATTCATAAATCTACAAACACACACATGTAATCATCCCCGGATGATTTATCTCGAGACAGAACGGACTCAACTATCTATTAATCTCGACGAAGGTTCTCGCGCTCGCGATACGCGAGACGTACCTAATTTGTCTTCCTCGATGATGATGAGAAGTCGCTGGCGCTTGCCTGGTGCACACTCGCCTCCTGGAAAGCAAACGTTAATTTACAATCCAGCCGGGAAGACAGCTTATTCCGCGCAAATCAATTGTCCGGTGCACAGTCTCTGGAGCACAGAATCAGGCTCTGTGTGGGAGAAATCTGCGCGCTCGTCTTGCGTGTAGTACTACTTCACGAAAGAAGATCAAGATTAAACGGCGTGTAGTAGTATCGTATTATGCGTGGTATCTCTCTCTAATCAATTATCGCCGTATCCGAATGTAAATCAGCCGCATAAAAGACGTCATTGCGGAGGCATTATCGCGGTAAGAAACCTCCGCGAAACCCCCGACTAATCCTCTCTTCGGGCTCTCTCTCTCTCTCTCTCTCTCTCTCTCTCTCTCGTTTCTCACTCGCTCCCTCTCTCTCTCTCTCTCTCTCTCTCTCTCTCTCTCTCTCTCTCTCTCTCTCTCTCTCTCTCTCTCTCTCTCGTTTCTCACTCACTCCCCCTCTCTCTCTCTCTCTCTCTCTCTCTCTTTCGATTTCAGCTTTGCATTTCGTTATCGCAGCTTACGCGGCGGGGAAATTAAATCGGCGGTTGTTCCGATAGTCATCGTCGACGATGCGCCCCTGCGTTATATCCCATCGTTCCGGCCGAACTGATCGCTAAAGCGCAGTCATTTGAATCGTAAAGTGCGCAGAAGGCCGGTTAAACCGTGAAATACGAAGGTCGATATCGAACAGGCGGTGGTCGAAATAAGTATTTGCGTTGGCGACGATATCACAGCTTATACCATGGCCGCGTGAGCCGGCTTCGGAATTAAGCTTACACGACGAGAGTCGCTATGAAAGTTTGCATTCCTGATTGCGACCGATAGAGTCCGAAAGAGTGCGACAAAGCAACGCGAAGCATCTGCGCTTCGCCCGCGACGCGAGCATTCTCAGGCCCGCGTCGATTCCGCAATCGTCCGAGAATTCGAGTCGCCGAGCGCGCATCTCTCTCGCTCTCGGAATACATTCCCGTTTCATTGGCCGTTCCGCCTGTAACCGCGATGTAACCGCGACCGCTCAATGCAATCAAACCGCGCATTCGGCTCATTGAGATTCCGCGTGCGGCAAAACCCTCGGCACAATCGCGAGCGCCGCGCTGCGCCGAGGGGAGAGCGTCTCTCTCGTCATTTCCCGAGTAGGAAAATTAATCGGGCCCTAGTAGGGATAGAAAGACAAGGGCATAACGAATGGTTTAACGGATCCCCTTATAAAGCAATATTATGAGAGCCTTATAAGGCAATGTTGATATAAGCCTTATAAGGGAATATTTTTATTGTTTTATTTTTATTGTTTGAATAAAAATATTCGTTCTTTTCATTTCAAGAAATTTAGAACTGTAATTTCTTTATTTCTTCGTAACCTTGTTAGTATATACAACGAGAATTTTTTTATTTTAAAAATATAGCATACTTTACAATGAAATATAGCATTCTTCTTTGACACACAAAAATCCTGCTACTGTTTTTATTAAAGATTGCTGCATTTCAAAACGAAGGCAATACGAAGAAAAATCCTTGGAAGAGACTAATAAATATGGCAACTGATAAAACTAATGGGATTTATTTTTAATTGCGGTATAATTAAAAGATCTCTAAAAGTACCAGATAGAGAGCCTATTAAAATCTATTAAAACAATGCTAAACTATGACAATTTCATTACACGCTTCAGATCTTATTAATTTTCTAAAACAAGTCTCGATTTTGTATACCTAAAGTAACCTTAAGAGATCCTTCTAAGAGACCCTTCTCATCTTTCCCTATCAAAACCTTATTTAAATTAAATCTAAGATACCCCTAATAAATCCTTCTGAGGCCCTCATCAGTTTTCCTTATCAAAGCCTGATTTCGTAAAATCTCATTCGTATCCCTGAAAGATCCATCCTGGAGCCTGATATGGCAATAAAAGAGCATCCCATTTTAGGGCTTATTCTACTTCCAGCCTTATCGGGGCCTTGTGCTTCACGAGGATGGCCCTAACAATTTCTTGCTCGTCATTTATCAGTTAGTATCATCGTCCCACGGCCGTATGAAAACCCAGTCCGGTTTCCGCATTTCAAATAAGGCCCGGATAACTTTATCGGATCCGACACGTAAGAAGGAGTGAAAGCTGAAACGCACTGCTGCATAATGCCCTGATAAAATTGCCTGAAATCGAGGAAACCTGATGAAATGTCCATCAGGACCAAATCAGGCATCCAGATAATAACGTCAGCGCTGGTATCAGGGTATCTGAAACCGAAAGATATTGCAAAACAATTGCCACATTCCGACCGGATAAGGGGACCAAGGCTCGAAATGCCTTCTTACGGCTTCTTACCTAGTCATGCCATGTCAGGCATAAAAGAAAATTGCCATATTTGCCAGATTTCTGCTCGGGACACGATTCGCAGCGCGTCCGCGCCTCTGATAACTATATGGCACCGCGAGCTGATTCACAGTGATTTCCTCGAGCTTTCTCCCAGGCAGGCGCGTAAATCGCGGCCGCGTGCGAGCCGTGTTCTTGGCTCGCGAAAAATCCCGTGAAACGCGTCGCGCGCGCGCGCGATGGAGGTTCGGGGAGACATTCGCGTGGGAATACTGGTTCGGCTGTGTCGCTCAAACTTCGTTCCAACACCCGTCGTCGATGGGTCCCTTCCTGTCTCTCTCTCTCTCTCTCTCTCTCTCTCTCTCTCTCTCGCTTTCTCCCGCTCGCGACGGGCTGGACGGGCGCGTTTTGACAAACGTAGAAACGAAATCGTCGCGAGAGGCGCGGATATTTACACGGCGCGCCGATGATTTACGACGGCCCCGGGACAAAACCTCTGCCTGCGGCTTTCCGCACGCGAAACTCCTCATCTCGCGAGAGAGCCGCGGCATTCATTCGCGGCCGGCTAGTCGCCGGACCAGTTTTATGCCGCGTGGGTTAAAGGGTCAGTAGACCCGCCGGAGTGATTGGCGACTGCACCGTACGGAGTGACTGCAATGTCTCTATCGATTTAAAACGTTATCCCGACCGGCGAGGAATTAGCGCTCGGCCGCGGACAGCCGGGCTCGTTACGTTGCGGGGCGATTTAAGACTTTGTAGGTCGAAAGTGATTGCTGAACGTTATAGACGTAGCGTATCTGCGCTAATAACGGAAATGCAAATGAGAACAACACCGACGACATCGCGCGAGCCCGCGAGCGCGCTAGCGGATGGGGAATTAACTCGTCCGGGAAAAATCTCTTGATTAATTACACATAGATAAATGCGTACCGAATCCGCGCGATACACACGTGCAGAATAAAACTCACCGTCGCTATCGGGTCTCGCTGCCAGTTACGAGCCACGTCGAATGTCTCGAACGTGTGGCGCGCGCGCGCGCGCGCGTTGCGAGCAGTCGAGGATGACAGGCTGGAGCGGGAAAAAAAAGTGGAATGTGCGCAAGGAGACGTAATAAAATCAGCAACGTCCAGCGGATGCACGAAGGCGAGGCGAAGGCGCCGTCGCGTGATGCGCGGTTTACACGGTTCTGTCCCTGTCGGGGCGATAAATCCCGGATGAATTACCGCATCGAATGCTCTCTCGCATGTCTACGACTCTCTCAGGAGCTTCCGAAATCTCAGCGGCGATCTCAGCGGATGATTTCCATTCCTAGCCGGGCGGCGCGCAGAGCCCCTGACGCGACGTCGTATTATCGCGGCCGTTTGTTACATTCTTACGTCCATCTGTTGCTCGCGTAGATATTTCCACCGACGCGAACCGGCGGCGGAACGAGCACGACCACGAAGACCGCGAGGACAACGACAACGACGACAACGGTTTCCTTCATCACGGCCGTCCCTGCATGCTTAACGAGCCGCATGCCTTCCTCTCGACATTGTTGCGCTTACATTTTGTGTCTATGCGTCAGCGGGAGAGCAAGTTGCAGAAACATTTCCCTGTCGAGCCGAGCAAGCAGTGTCCTATTTCGTTGGCGCGCACGCGAAACGATGCGTGAAACTTGTCAATTTTCTATCGCCTGTCGTGCGCGCGCACGACGATTTTTCTCGACGGTGACATTCGTCGCTCGGTGTCGAAATTATACGTACGAGTCGATATCGATCGCTGTTTAATGCACAACGACAGCCAGCTTCTCCGCGAGCGAGAGAACACGATTTCACGCTGGGAACGCTGTTTCCGCGAGATCGATAATAAATCCGACCTGCCGAGAGTCAAGAGAACGAGCGGATACAGATTGCCGCGGAAATACGCGATACGAGTCTGGTTCTCGCCAATAAACACCGGCGTTTTATTGCCCGATCGCGTAAATGTTGGCGCGCCGTTCTTTCTCTCATCCGCGGCAGACGGAAAACGCATGGTATGCGCATCTCGCGATGTGAGCCGAGCGTTTTTAACGAGATCAAAGTGCGACGATCCCGTTCCCAAATTACACACAGGCGTCCGTGAAGATCGAGTTGGCGATCGCGACTGGATTCTTTCGCACACCCGACACCGGCGTCATATTAACATTGAGTCGCACGTGAGCGCGAACAACATAAATCGGCGGTCGCCGGGCGACGCGCAGTGGGGCCAGATGACATTTTTTGCTTGAAAATTCCCTAGAGACCCGAATTCCCAATCATCCGATCATCGGACACCAACGGATGAGGTTGATCCTGAATTAATTCCAAAGGAATCTGTCCAGCCGAAATTTTGACAAAATTATCGGTTCATGGGTTTTGTCTTAAAAGTTTATCGTTTAAAGTGTCGTTTGCAGTGTCTTGGGTTCGACCTCAATGGGTTCGAGTCTATGGACACTAAATGCGAGATCCCAGAACTTATAATCACCTTTTAGAAGAAGCTCAGAATTTCAAAGCTCATCATTTCAGGCCACATTAAGAAAGAATCAAGCCATATGGACCCAATAAGTAAAAACATGGAGAACATTGAACCCTAACCTGATGGTCCATGACCCCATGAGCTTATAAACCTCAGCTCATAAGCCATCATACGGAGATAGAAAATAATATCGCCGTCGACATCAGCGCGACCCAAT